ACCCACTCACACCAGTGAAGAGCACCAACCGCTCCTCCGCACTGGCCGCCCCATCCCATGCACCCACTCCACCACCACCAAAACCACCAGCCCTCACCGACGTCTTGCAACCACCACATCCAACGCTGCAAGACGATATCCCCGAAGGCTGGAACCACCCAGAGATCCAACAATGGGTCACTACCTTCGACCCCACCATTCAAGAAGCCGCCAAGGACGTCGTTCGTTTGCTGCAAACAAGCAAAGTTACCACGCAGCAGCTAAAAGAAGCAGCCACAAGGTATGGCCTACCCCTCAACCGGGTCAACCGACTCCCCATTCGTAGCCTACAACAGCTGGTGGGTGTTGGAGCAGCCATCGGTTGCTGACTCGCCATCCTTGCCCAGCAGCAACCCAGCCACACCAACCCCACCCAACTTTTCCACTTGCACCGAGCACTCTCCATGCTCACTCACCGCACCCAATACATCGACCGTGCCGAGGCCATCTTTGCAACCGGCCTTATCCACATCACACTCCTTTTCGCATACCCTTCCAACACCCGACGCTCACAACAATGGCGCAACCGTCTCCGCCAGCTCCACATTCTGCCCCACACATACCACTACCACAACCTCCTCTCCTCAAATTCAGTCTACATCAAGCTCCACTTCAATTCCGACCAGCCCCAACGCTGCTACCATCAGCGTGGCCACTTCTATGTTGGCTCCACAGCTATCGGCATTCCCCACCGCGAGCGCAACCGCCGTGCCAAACTCAAACAACTCCAGAACAACATCCCCATCTCTGCAGAACTCTCCTTACGTTATTGGCACTCACACAACAACATCCACCACTACACTACCATTCAACTTACCTCCCATGACACATATGACCAAGCCTGGATCCAAGAGCACCACTACATCGCAAACTGGATGCCTACGCTCAACTGGCCTTTCATTTCCCACCACCTCAAGCTCAAAGCTCAGGGCTGGCAGTTCACAAAACACAGAGCCCACTTCTACTCCAGACTAGCAACCCACAAACGACTCTTTAGACGCCTTCGGCAACGCCAGTACACCCTCAGAGAACCACACCTTTACACCTCCACCAAGCATCACGCCCTCCAACTTCTCCGCTTACCAAACACACCGCAGCCTCCTTTGAAGCAGCCAAAGAGCTACGAAGCGGCCGCCACACTGACCTCGAAGTCTATGCAATCCGACGTATGGCCGCAAACCTTGAAGAACCCGGCCGCAGCAGGGCTCTCCATATCCTCAACAAAGCCCTCCTCTACCGCAACCTCACACCGCCGAAACCAAATATTCCATTGACAGTACCATTTCTAGCCCACGACGATTTCACCAAGCACTGCCAGCAATGGCTTCGCGCCACCATTCAGCAACACAAGCACTTCACCATCCCCCTCCACCTCCCCTCCCACAGATTGAGAGAAGCTGCACACAAAACCTTACGTTCCCACCTGCATAGCCACCGCACATGGGAGGACACCCTTCACTCCGCGCCGGATCCAGCAGACCTACCCTGTGCATGCGCTCATCTTCGCACCCTCTTGCAGGATCCGGATACCCCCACCATCAACGGCCACTACATCCTTACACTTGACCAACTCCAACTCCCCACTCATCTCGGCATTTTTCTCAACGCCAATATGAACAGTGCCTACTACCCAAGCAAGGCTCGCTACTTCATCACTTTCAAGACGGCCTACACAAAATGGCTCAAACTACAAGGGCTTCCACCATCCCTCGTTCAACACTTGCAGCCATTCCTGGAGCACCAATGGCGCCTCCACAACACACACCTTAAGCAGAAACCCCGTTTTACGGCACGCCTGCTTCGCCAACTCCAAGAACATCTTGGCCAACACACATTACTTCACCATGCCGACCATGAGCTCCAACAACTCAGGCTGTTTTGCCCTCGCCAATATTTCACTGGCGTCTTGAATACATGGCAATCCCCTGAACTTTTTGAACCACTTCCTTACATCACTGCCGCCAATATCCACGACCACCTGGCCGCCACTGTCCCCCCCATTTTACGCACTCGCTACAAGTGGGGCTTCCGAAAAGACTTCAACGTCCCCTATGGCGTTGTCCACCTCAAGGAGAAGAAGCACTGGCAAAAAGGCCGTACAATTATCTCATACTTCCAATCACTCAGTGGCAACCTGCTTCGCATTACTAGCCGTGCCCTTGACATCATCCTCCAACACCTCTACCCTCAACATCCCGGCCAAATGTCCATTCCCCAGCTTTGGCACCATTTTCACAGCTACCTCACCCAAACCCCACCAGACATCTCACTACACGCCACCAACGATGACCTGGTCGGTTTCTTCAACTCCGTCCCACAGCACCGACTCATCGATGCGGTTCACTCCCTCGTCCACCACTGGCAACAACAGCAACCCACACACACCCTGACGGTGGATGTCCAGGCCACCGGCAATCCCTTCCACCACTCACACATTGGCAGACACCATTGGAAACACCCCACCCAACGCACCATCCAGACTTCCGACATTACCACCATCGTGGCTTTTGCCCTCAACACATGCATTTTCCGGGCTTGCAACAATACTTACAAACAAATCCGAGGGGCCGGGATTGGATCCCAGCTCTCTCCAGCCCTGTGCAATGTTGCCATCACCCTCATTGAGCATTCCTGGCATCAGTTTCACAACAACCTCCTTCAACACACTGATCTCCACTTTACTTACTATCGCTATGTCGACAACCGCTTCATTGTCCACAACGAACATTTCCTTCAACACCCAGCCATCCAAACCCTCATCCACCACAATTTCTTTGGCGACCCAGTCGAACTCGAACCGGTGGAGGATTTTCATCTCCTCGGTTTCAACATCGACCTCCCACAACGCACCATCACCTACATGCAACCTTCCCAACCCTGGAAAATCCGGGATTCCACAACCGCCGGGAGCCAGCGCTTGGCTCTATCAGGCCTCCAATCACGACTCCACACCATTCGAAAATACACATTTCCACCTTCCAGCGCTGAAGCTGCTGCGGCTGAACTTGTGAGCCTATATGTCCAAAAGGGGCGCAACTATCACGCCTGCCACCGGTTTTTGAAAAAAGCGCCGAACGTGGCGACTTGTGTGTGTCCACCCCTGGACAAAGGGTTTTCCACCACCACCTTTCACAGGCAGGGGGGCCAGGCCTGTCACATCCAACCTGGCCCAACGAAGCTGGGATGTGGCAGGGGAAGCACTGAGAGACGTCTCAGTGTGTACCTGCCGAACAACTGTTGCACACGCTGTCCACTCTTGCTGTTTGTTTCCATGGTGGTTCATGTTACTTCCCCCAAACCTTTTTCCTTTCCGCCACTTGCAGCAGCCACGCGTTTATTTGCAGCTTTTCACCGCAGTCGCTTGCGTGTTTCTGCAGATGACAACTTTCAATGTTGAAACACCTTCAAGTTTTCGGACCTTTCACCATGCCGTTCCATCACCCTCCTTCCCATCGGAGAAATTGAGTTTAACCGAAAACCAGTGTCGAAGTGTGTCCCCTCTGCATTCACGAGGTTCCAGTCGGAATGCTTTCTTTTCCCTTTCCGTGACAGCAGGGGGCCACCGGGGTCCCAGAGGAGCGGTGGCCAACGAAGACCTCCTCCGGGGCCCGTGTAAACGTACCTGCAGTTTTACCTGAGAAATTTCATCGTGGGCCCTGCTTGTAGCTAGAGCAAGACGTCCAGCCTTTGCATCGGTTCCTCATCGGCAGATGTGCATTGTCGCTTTGGACTTGTCGATTTGGAGTTGGAGGCCACGCAGGCTTTGAAGTGGCTTGGAACACCGTACGTTTACCATCTTTTACTTGTCCTGGCTTTCTTAGTTTTCACTTAGGCTGGCGTGCGGCACCGCTGTCAAGTCAGTACGCATTTCTATAAGTGTGTCTCTCCTAGTGAGAGCCCAGGGTGAGCCCGCAGAGTGCCCCCTGTGCACCCGTTGAACGGGGGTTTGTCTTCGTCCCTGCGCCGGGGCCAGAGTAGTCCGCAGCGGACAAAGCAGGCTTGCAAGGTTTGTCGGATTATTGCATTCCAAGCTGGCTCATGCCTTTACGTGACCGCAGCGGTCTAATGTGGCGCAGCGGCCGAACTCGTTGGAGTCTGCCGGGACCTTAGTCCCCTTCCTCCCCCTATTCTCTCTTTGCCTTTTGGGGGTATTCCTGAATGCAACACTCAGGTATACCCCTCTCCTTGGTGTGTCCCTGGACGCTTGCGCGTAGCTGGGAACACCTGTTTTCGTCTTTTTTTCCTTTTCTCCTTTCCCTCTCTCTCTCTCTCTTTTTCTCTTTCTTTCTTTTTCTTTTTCCTTTCTCCCTCTTCCTTCTTTTTTTGGGTGTCCCTGGATGCTTTCGTCATAGCTGGGAACCCTTCTCTTCTTCTCTTGGCGTGTCCTTGGACGCTTGTGTCGTAGCTGGGAACACCTTCTTTTCCTTTCCTTTCTTCTGTTTCTTTCTTCTCTTCTCTCCCCCTCTTAGTGAGCGCCGACTTCGGCTTGGTGTGTGTGTCAACACCTGTCTCCAAGGTTTTGGAGCGACAAGCGCCAGCAGGGGAACTGGGCACTCTGTGACTGACCCAGTTCAACGAAGCTAGGTCACAGAGTGGGACATTCGGCCTGATCAGCCGAACGTACCTGCGCCACATGTTTGAACGATTTTCAAGCTGTCCATTGCGGTGCTTTGCAGTAAGCGGCCAATGAGTTGGAACAAATTGTTCAAACGCTTTCAAATTTGCGGACTCCATCGTCTTTCCGTTGAATCGAGGCATCTTTCCGTTCCATCGAGTCAAGCGCTAATGAGTGTAAAGGGGAACTTCATCCACCGACTTAGCTCTTGCGAGCGTCCATCTAAGTGTGTGCGCCTCATGTGTGCGCTTTCAGTGCAGGTAACCGCGGGTCTCCAGCGATTTAGATCTTGGCAGTGAGTTATGGCAGTGGTTCATGCAAGGGTCTCTGCCAGTTCTGCAACCAGGTGATGAAGGAGCAGTGCGCTTCCTTCTTGAGAAAGGTGCCAACCAAAATTTGAAGACCAAAGATGGACGTACAGCTTTACAGGTGGGGAGTAGGTTGGAGGCCCTTGCACTTAGGTTGGAGGCCATTTCCAGTGCCCCTTTCCCGGTCGAATGAACGGCTCTTAGCAGGTGGCGAAGAATGCGAGCATCCGCGCCCTACTGGGAGGGGGTGAGAAGCGATCTGCGGAGATGGAAGGCCAGGAACGAACTACACGCGATTTTTTATAGGGGATGGCTTAAAAATACTATTCCACGGGTCATCTGACCTACTGGAATATTGTTTTTGGAATAATATTTCTGGAATAGTATTTTAGCTAGGTAGTGGTTCAAGGTACTATCTATAAATTTGGAATATTTTTTGGAATAATATTCCAAGATGTACACACATGTACATGCAGAGAGATACCAGAGGAACCCAGAGGTACGTACATACATGTACAATCTGGAATTGTCCACAGTCCTGGCTCTGCAACCTTCTCACAGTCCTTTGCTTTGTAGCTGCTTAGGGCAGCTTGCATGCAGCCCAGGGTGCTTAGGGGCTCAATTTGCCCATGGGTCCTTCA